CTGTAATGAGGTGATGATAAGATAATCATATCTGGAAATATTTTTAAGCTAATATAATCTACAGTTAAAACCAGAAGTTTAAATACACTTAAAAGGCACATAAATATTTTTTTCTCTTCTCAGTCAGTTATGAATAACCATCCATCCACCTTCTGCAACTTATCTGTCACAGGTGGCTGGTGCCAGTCTATGAGTAAAAGGCCTTGGACCACAGTGTTATTCAACAGTCTATCACAGGGGAGCACATCAACATACTACCATGCACACACACTAGTTGTGTTATTTGACTCTTAGAGATGCCAGTTAATATAACAGTTTACGTTTTGTTGGACTGTTGAGGGAAGCCAAAGTACTCAAAGAGAACCGACACATGCACAGGAGGAACATGGAGCAAACTGCATTCAGAAAGACTGGAAATCAAACCCGGGATCTTCCTGCTGCAAGGCATCAGTGCTACAACCTGTGCCACAGTGCAGGCTGTTATGAAATAGAAACAGTCTAAAAAAAAAAAAGCAAGCAGATTATTCTTATTTGCTAAAAGCCAGAATAATGAAAGATGGATTTTTTTATAAGTTTTTTTTTTTAATTCTTTCTTTACATTCAAAATTTTAAATACTCTTTGCCTTTAAAGTATTTAAGAACACCAAGAGTTGATTTGAGATAAATCTGTAGATGTTTTAGATACACAACTAAAACACTCAGGCTCGAGCTGAGTTCTTCAAGTGTAGCTCCTGCTCTCCCTTCACCTTTCGCGGGGTCAACAGAGAGAACACTATCCAGGGAAAGAAAGGACTTCAGGACTGGTGTCTGGAAGTGGAAATGGACAAATCAAAATTTGGTTCATTAAATTTTCCGTTTTTTGGGGGGGGGGGGTGTTAATCCTAATTCCTAGTCCTTTGCAACACAACCCTACAGTTTGTTTAGCGCACAAGTCTTTACGTTGTAAGCAACATGAATTGTCTTGAGTTTTGTGAATTCAAAAACTCCTGAAAATACCGTGTAGAATTCAAACTGAACTACATGGATCAATCTGGCTTATTTCAGGTTACCCAAGTATGGCTAAACAACAGAAACGTGCATTTACTACATGACAATTTTTCAATTTAATGTCTTTTAATTAGCACATCTAATGGCCTTTTTAAAAACGGGAGACTGTTGGGGTTCCTAATTTTGATGCATTTCCTGAAAAGGAGTAAATTTCAGATTCATTCTTTTTTAACTGATATTCTGATCAAATTCAGACCATGTCCAGGAAAAAATTTGGGGTAAAATTCTTTCAGCAAGGGACTAAATTAAAACACTGAATTACTTTTTGTACATGTATTAATTATTGCTCAAAACCTATTGATTGAAACTATCTGAATTGCTCACTGTGGACTTGTAGCTGTCAGGATGTGTTGTGGTTTGTTGACACAAAAGCAGAGGCAGGGAAGCAGAGGTGAATTTCTTGAGGATTTAATAATGAGTATACTGAAAACAGAGGCAGGTAATCCAAAAACAAAAACAGAGTCCAATTTAACAGGAAACCAGGAATCCAAAAATCCAAAAAGGAAACAAAGTCCACACTAACATGAAACCAGGAGTCCAAAAATCAAAACATGAAAACTCTTCAAAACGTACCAGAAAACATTGAGACATCATGGGGATTAAAATCACAAGGAGGAAGGCTCAGGAAGACGGAGTTGGGGGAAGTTTGATGAGGACCCATCAAAGAAGAACTGAGCAGAGAGGGTATTTAAGGGAGACTGAGACAAAGAGAGGAGTAACGAGCAGGTTGGGAACAGGTGTGCACAGAGCAGAACAGAAAAGGAGCTAGGGAAAAAGGAGAACACAAGAGGGCAGCAGAGGGCAACAAACAAACTTAGAAAACGGAAAATAACTAAAAAAACACAACAAAATAAGAATTAAACCACTAACACTATAAAACATAGAGCAAAGTAAAACTCAAAACTCAAAAGAAAAACATAACAGAGCCAAGACTGAAACAGTAACTAAGAATTAACCAGAGAACACAGCAAAAAAAAAAAATGAAACCATAAAAACTAGAAAACAAGGAGCAAAGCAAAACTGAACATCCAAAAGAAAAACATAACAGAACCAGAACTCTAACAGTAGCATGATTATTTTTTATTTATTTTTTTTTACTGTTTCTGGCA